CAGCCTACCCACTTAGCACCGCGTCATGGGTCACCAAGCAATATCATTGGTTAGTATATCAAAGATGAGTCGCTGCACTTCAAGAAATGATCGGTTTCTATCTTCTCAATATATTATCGAGCAAACAGTGACGAGGATTGACAAAACAATCTGCTAGATGGAGAAAATCCATGGGGAAGAAATTATTGATTATTTGAGATGAAATTATTCGTAGAAGATAATTTTACGGCCATAATCATATTTTTTATATTTCTTTTTAGGCATCTGGTAGCAGTTGTGAAGGCGTGGGTCGAGTGCAGTGATTCTGACTCTGACTCAGAAGACGAACGGCCTCTGAGCATCACAAACGAGCATGGCACCAGTAGATTACCTTCTAACTACAGTGAATCGCAGGCTCCTACTCTTAGGATTCACATGCCTGATACGGGCCATGTGATCGTGAATTCAGCTTATGACAACATGGACAGACTTCAAAATGTACTTACTGGATCAGCACTATTCCTTGGCAAACTTCAGCACAGAAAAAAAAACCCAAAGTTTAATTTTGAAAAGTATATCTCATATCTTGATAAAGTTTCGAGGAATGTTGGCTTCTCGATCGGTGTGGTCCCGGTGACCTGGGAACTAGTGTCGACTTTGTTTTTCTTCCTCATCTCGCTGATTGCTCTGTTTGTACAGGAATCCATATTTGGAAAAGCGAAGAGCACGATAACGATTTGAAATTATTTGAATTTATCATTTGTGCCAGCAGAACTTTCTAGAAATGATAATATTTATCTTAATAACAATATTGATGATGACGACGATAACAATGATAATAATAATGAAGGAAAAATGACCAAAAAATAAGGAAAAAATAAAAATAAATTCATAAATATTTTCTTATTGTTTTAAGATGATGATGATGTACAAAACAACTTCCCGGAATGAGGTCGAAAATTTTGTGCATGTCCTAGCTCAGCTAAGGCGGCCGTCTTTTGCAAAAGAGCACTATGAAGTCGACAATAATTGAAAATTTTAGCAAATGAAACACCAAAGTTATTTTCTCATTCTTTTAGGAAAAAGAATATTCTAATTCAATGACCCAATAAAAAATCTGATTGTCCTCTCTGCCATTTTTTATAATCTGTATTTGTTCTCTTGTTTTGACCACGAGATGTTCTGGTAAGTGAAGTGGCATGTCTCATTATTCCTCGTCTTTAACAAATTGTCCAATCAAAAACGCTTTTTATTGTATCAGTCAACCAATCAGGGCGCCTTTTCTTGTGGCTCTTCATGCACAGTAGATCCATATTCAATGACTTACTTGTTTCCCGCTGCAGCCGCTCTCTTGCCTCGATAATTTTCTGACTGAGGGAATCTTCGAGTTTCAAGTTTTAAAGTAACACGTTCAGTTGAGAGGTAACTTTATTTTCTGCACTTAAAAAGTTAGTTTAAAACTTTGTTTAGCGATTGGCGTTATGTATGACTTCATTTAACGGCGGACTAAAGTTCAAAAGTACCAAAGGCTAACTTTTGTTACGTTTTCAGACCGCCTTTATCGTCTATTTATGGCATGATTACCAAATAACAAAGGTCTGTGCTCAATTTAAAGTCTCGGGAGCGACGCAATTACAAGATTTAGACGAAAGAAATTTCGTTTCTAAGGTTTGTTTACCGCAAAAACTAAAACTACATACGAAGTTGGTTTCGGTTTAGTGATGGTCTGATATTCGAGAAGAATTCATCTCTGACGGATCTTTAACGGAATATTTGCGAGCTATTTAATGAAACACTTCATGGTGAAGAATAAAAGTCATGTTTCGAACACCAGAAGTACATAATCTTTTGAAAAAATATGGAACATCCTACTTCCGTGATTGCGACATTTACCATACAGAGTATTGCGTGACCCCGACATCCGGTAAAATTGCTCCAAAAACATGCTATTTTGGGTGGAATATTGCTTCTCTTTCTCAAAATGGTGTTTCTTTCTTAAATGTACCACCAGAAACAAGTTGAAAAATATGTTTCCTACTATCGATAAGAAACTGGAGAGATTTTGTCGCGATTTAAGCACGGCATTTTCACACTTTCCTACGTGGGTTTGATGCAATAAATTTTTAAAAGCGTGACCGGCCGGGAAACTACTGCATTGAGGGAAACTGAGCTTGTTCGACAGCACACGCTTGGAATAATAATTGTACTGCCAAATTTGAACACAGGAACAAATTTTCCGCATTTTGATATATAATTCGTAAGGTTTGGCACTGATTACGGCAGGGGAAAATGACTTCGAAAATCTTCCATTTTGTTTTCTTTGTTGTGTTTGCGTGTTGCACGACGGTGACCACAGTAGGTGATCATTTTGGAGGTCAAAATGACGATTCAAACGCAAATTTCAGCCAGCAGAATAGACCTTCGTATACTTACGAGATCAACAAGTAAGTGCTCTTATAAAATATTTATTTTTATTTGTTATCGAGCGTTCAATCGTAAAAATTTCCGAAATACTGAATAATATTGCCCTTTTCTGTCTTTTCTTCTCACAGTTATTTAGTTCACATCAGTTCGAAAGAAAACGAAAATGATATTAAAGGAAACGGGCATTCGGGGATTCGTTGTTAATAGTCGAATTATCACTACAATCAGGAAAAAAAATTGGACGTTAAAAGGAAGATCGATTCTGCCAGAAAGGAGGGAGGTGCGTGCATGAGGAGGCTATGAAGTGACAAAAAGACTTAAAATTGAAGAAAAGCTGCAACAAGCCCTTGACAGATCAGAAAAGTCCTGTGGGCATTACAAGAACTTAAGTGTATTATGGCTTGGCTAGCTAATTAGATATGCATAATATTAGAAAATGCAATTTAGCATGGTTCGGTTTAATCAAGACGCCTAAAACCTACATTACTAGTATAGAAATATCGTCCTTAGCAATAAGACATCGGGTCACGTGACCTCTAATAAGCAAATCTAAAATGAAGTAAGTAAAACAAAAAGCAACGTTCCTTTTTGTATTTTTCAAAGGCTTTCAAGGATTTTTTTTTGAAGTCTGCCTTTTAGGAATGTATAAGTCATATGCAAATCAGAAAATAAAAAAAATAAAGAGGTCACGTGACTGTGGACTTGGTTAAATCCCTAACAGCAGAAGTAGAATTTTCAACCTTAAAAGGCGGGAGAGTCATTTACGCAGTCTTTGTAGCATATGTCTCAAAAACACTCTGGGATTGAGGTTTGCAAATTTACCCCGTTTGAGGAAACGTGTTTTGTGACGTCACCGAAAAAGAAATGTCACATCACATTTGAAATCACGAGGAACCTGTTTTTTCTTTGGAGAAAGCTTTATAGACTTTATAGATCACTTTGATGAATCGTTGCGAGCATCAAACCAATTAAAATAGCATTTTACAAATTATGTATATTTAATTGGGTAGCCAAGCCGTAATACAGAAGAGATTTAAAACTTTGGTCAGGAAAGTTACTAAAATGAACAAGAAAAATTCAAAAGGAACGCAAAGAATAAACGTTTCGGTGAATACTCACAAAGGCACCAGGCTAGAATTAAAACACAACGTAAGGAACAGTGCTATTGGACGCTTGCTTTCAGAGCTGGAAAATCATAATACCCAATTTTCAATTTTCATTGCATTGCAGACGTTAAACAACATGGTTGCCATTATTTTGATGAGAAATTGAGTGAAAATGACGAGATTTTTCAAGTTACACGCATAATTAATTGCGTATGGATTATCATGATTTCTGAGCTGAGACAAACACGAACTAAAATATCTCGAAGCAGATTAATCCAATGGAAACAAAATTTGGAGTGGAGGCTTAATTCCTTTGCGATAGTGGCAGATTCCTCTCAACTTGATCGCCTCAGCACCCCCTTAAATTCTATATATTCCATGAATTCCACAATCATCAGCACAATTCTGATATTATTATCGGAATCTATTAAGAATTCTGTGCAATCTCTAAAAATAACCAAGATCTCTTCATATGTAAAAATTTGTGACTGAATGAGTTTGAATCTTTAGACGAGCAATCGTGCACGCAAAATGCTGTCCTCGCATATGTATCATTCACCATAACAAACGCGAAGTAAGAATTTACATTTTATATTTTAGTTATTTGTTTATTTATCTAGCAGGAAATTTCGAGTTAGAGTTTATTCGTAAATAAACATACAGTAACTCCTACTGATAGAGAGTAATTGCAGAGACTGGTTTCTAAAATCTCTGGAAATAAAAATATTTTTTTTTAATATTAAAGTGGAGAAAGTTTGCATTGTACTTTTTATCCTGATAGAGCGTCACAGGCCGTTAAAAGTCGGTAACTAATACTAAGACAAAACTATAGTGAATCGTAAGAAAATAAGATTAACGAATATCTTTACTGAACCTTGGCTCAATTTGCTTGTTTTCCTATGGGAACAATAAAAATTACCTACCCTTTTTATAACATGTAACATTTTCAGACGTTCATCTACATAATAATACAGCAAGTACTATGTTATGAATACCCGTTTTGTTTGCTCGTGCGACGGCTGTATGTTCCCATCTGTGGATTAAGATTTGTTTTCTCAAGAGGCTGAAATATTTTATAATATTTTGATGAAGCATTAATCTCCTTCCTGAAATGAATTACTGAACAAGCATTATCTTACAAATTTGTGTAAAATATTAGCGGAACACAATAGACATATTTCCATGTCACGGTTTTCAAAACGTAGCCCAGGCTCGCTGACCCTCTGTAAACATGCAAATTTTTAGGGACCAGTATCGCCGGGCGATACCGGAAGAAAGGTGGTCGCATGAAGATGGCTGTCTCATAGTAGGTTGGAGCCATGGTTCCAGCACTTAAAGTTAACAGATATTAGAACACGACAAGAAAATATTTAGAACCTCTTGGAACACGACTGATTATAATTTTATCACTTATTGTTATGTAGGTGACTCTAAATCAGTTTAATTGAGATACATTCATTCTGTTTATGAACCCACCCATGGTCTGCACACATGGCTACCGCACCGGACCCAGAGGTGCTTTGTTCCACGGATGGAAAAGATAAATTCCAACGAATATCGCGTCTGCTAATTAGTGGAGGTACTACATTACTTAGAGAGGTGTTTGATCAGATTTGCCCACCATTTCATCTTCCTTCAAAATCAAAAGATCCAAATACAAAGAAGCAGCTTAAATCGGCAAAGCTCACAAAGCCACAGCGAGACTGCCTGTACCCCTCCCCGGGGACGTATGGTGAGTCAAAAGGTTTCGATATTACTCTGCTCTTCGCTTTGCTAAAGACAATATGCAACCTCACCCCTCCAAGCACGGGCTGGGATATTCTACCAGCTCCCACCGATCACAGTTTAGTTGCAGAATTGGCAAGAATTAAGCATTACAGGAACGCGGTGTATGGCCATGTAAAGGGAAACATGGAGATTACAGATGACGAATTTCTACAGCTTTGGGAGAACATTAGCCAGGCTCTGATAGGTGTCGCAGCAAACCTTGGCCCAACAAGCAAATGTAATGACTGGCAGACGAAAATTGACAAGTTATTGAAGGATCCCCTTACTGCTGAAGATGAAAGAAACGTACAGGAACTGCAAGAATGGTATAAAAAGGATGAAGACATCAAAAAATCCTTAGATCAATTGGTAGATACAACCCAAAAAGGGAAAGACAGTATAGAAAGGATGGAAAAAAACGTTGAGGAGATCAAAAAATACTTGAGTGAATTGTATGAGCTTAGGCCAAATTCTTGCGAGAATTGTACTTGTACTGGTAAGTTTTTAAGATTCGTTATAATTTATCTCTTGGGTGTTTCTTTTTTCTTGAATTGGGACTACAGGAACTGAGAAGTCTTACGATTCCTCGACAGAAATATATGTAGAAAATAGATATAGAAGTCCTACCAAGGGTGGTCGTTTAATAAATAATTTATTTTACAGTTTTTTTAATTATCGAAGAATATATCATGGGCTCTTTTTCAGTTTCATTATAACAATGTTTTTGTTTTTCACATGCTTCCAATTAACAGATGCAGCTATACTTCCGGTGAAGTTGAGTTGTGAGATCTACGCACACTCAGATCAACAAGGGGACCTTTGCGGAATGTCAGTAAATGGAGATGCCTCGCGTGCTACTGCACAGGAGGTATTGAATCAAATTGCGAAAAGTTATTTGCAGATAGTTGAATCATCCACAAAAAAAGAGTGCAATGAATTTATGAAGTATCTAACGAGGATGGGGGAGGTGTTAGCTGTAGACGTCATAAAAGGGAGCTTGATGATCAAAGTGGGATGCCGATCTGTGCAGATATTGAGTGACTTGTATATAGACTTTTTAACAGGTCATTTAAATGCGCTGGCACAAGAACACCTTGTGACAGAGAGGGTTCTTACCAAGTTTGCCCTTATGGAAGCAAAACTCACTACAAACATTTCAGAGAACGAGTACAGAAATTGTCGAAAGCAATTAAAGGCATATGCAGGTGAGTGTGGGTTATGATATTAAACAACTTCAGCTCCAGCTTTCCAAAAAATTAATGCTGATTCAGCTGATTTATTTTGGGTTCGCTTTATCCTTGATATACTCGAGTTAGCGCGAAAGAAAGGAAACACCTTGATTCCGATAAGCACGAGGTTTTCTAGTATCTAACTACGTACTTTTTTCAGGTTTATAAAGGTTCCAGCCCATTGCAACTTCGATCGCTCCCACCTTACTCAGTTTGCCCCATATATTTCAACTTGCAAAGGTGGTAGGGGCGAACTTGTAATGAGACGAAACCTCCAGATACCCTTTGTTATAGTTAAAGAAACAGTATACTTCAGAAACCGTATGATTTTTATCTCTATCATTAAAAACATTTTAATTTTTTACACTAAGTAAATTTTGAGATTACCAAGAGTAACCTGAACTTCCCAAAATTGTCTTCAAATATAATAAAATTTAACTGCCATAGTGGACGCCGCCATTCTAAAATTTTGCTCAGCAACCATGCCGGATAACTTGTGACCTAACAAAGTCTCGGCGGTTCTGGGGGGGCGCTATGTTCCCTTAAATATAAGTGTCTTCAACATGGCAGTCTCCGTATTCGAAGTTTCGAGCAAATTTTTAAGAATTATTTGGATTCCATGTTAGTGGGCCAAGCGGTTAATTCTAACCGTTCCTGTTCATTTGGGGCCATAATACTTCGAGCAATTCGAAGCTGCAACATTTCCCCGGGCAACCCCCCAACCATTTGAGAATTGGTTTGTTCAATTCCCGTCTCCCGGAAATTGTGTTCAAATTCAAATGCTCTGCCCGTGCCGGATTTAATGGTCAATTTTTTGATAACAGGCAAAATCAGCGTCCGTGAATTCTGCTCATTCGCCAAGCTTAAAACTTGAACATTGTAGAACTTTTCTTCTGAGCCATTCGCTGGCGAAAGTGTACTCTTTTAACACCTCTATATAAAAAGATACAACAAGTGTATCCCGCTAGAAAGACTTTAAAAACTTCCAGTTCCAGTTCCCCACCCCACCAGGGAAGGTTCAAATTTCCCTTCCCTCGAGCCCGGACGACAGACCAATGCCCGTGGGTTGCCCAGAGGGGATTTTGAAACTTCGAATTGATCGACGTACAAATGGACCGTATTTACGAGTGGATTTAACTACTTATTCAAGTTACACTGTTTTGGATCCTTCAGAGTTTGGATATTATTAAAAAAAACTTGAACTCAACAGTATCTGCAAAAATAATCTTTTTTTCCTTACAGTCCTGGAGCCGAAAGTTCTTGACCTAAAGAACCGTCGAGATAAACTCCAGGAGAAGTTCCTCGAATGGGTTAAAGTTAGAAAAAAATCAGAAGTTTACTTGAAAGACCGCTCCAAGATCGTAGAATGTACTCCTGCAGTACTTTTCATTGGCTTGTGGCCTTAGTCGCTGTAGGATTAATGGCAGCAATCAGCACTTTTGACGTGTTAGCCGCCGACGAAGACATTGGCTTAGGTGTAGTGATATGCATAGGCTTGTGGGTATGCTTAGGGTTGGCCTTAAGCGCAACCATAGCCTCAAAACCAGGTTCTAATAAGGAAAATTATCTTGGAGATGACAAAAACGCCTTACAAAAAGTTTCGTCAGATGCCCGTCTCCTCGGGAAATGTGTGGCTAGCCTTTCTATTTGTTGCCGCAACCACACGGAGCAAGTGCTAACGAGCAGAGTTATGGCAAGGAAATTCCCATTTTTAATTGACATTCTACGAGAATCAGGGTAAGAATTTCACCGTGAATCGAAGTCAATGCTACAAGCGCTGATCAAAAGGGAGTTAAACATTTATTCTAAGGGATTTCAATCTTTACTGACCACCAACAGGGAAATCCTACAGGAGCTGCATGAAGGACCAAGTCAGGATGAGATTCAGGAAATGATCGTGGATTTTATCAAAGTAGAATTCGATAAAAATCGTCTTAAATTTCATCAAACAAGTCCTTTTATTTCCCACTTCCATTAGGACCGGTAACTCATGAAGCTCGTTAGGAATTGTCAAGTTTACAGACGCTAAGTCGTTCTGGTCTGGTTCTAGTTTACGCGCTCAATTAAAGAGGCCTGTAAAATATCGCATCGAGCACCGTGCTGAACAAAGTAAGACGCATAAATTATGAGTGATTATGCAATCGGAACCATGTGGTTACTCAGTATTTGCCACGCAAGATACGGCTTCGTCGAACTGCGTCAGCCTTTAGTTTCAATTTTCAGCAATCATCAAGAGTGACTTTTGACCATAAGATAGACTGCGGCAGGAATATCATAGCACCTAGTTGCTGTGTACGATAATTGAGTAGAAATCCGCCTGGCTTAATTACAATTGACCATTTTAGTTTCCCTTACACCACTGCTTCAGACAATATTCATTTCTTTAGTTGACTGTAATTTCGTACTCTCATTTCCAAAATGTAATCGGTTTTGGGTTAGTAAAATTTTCCAATTCCTGAATTATTTCAGTGACGGTAGAACTTTAAGAATGCCAGGTTGTGAAAATGGTAAAAATAAAGGGAAGATAAATTGAATGCGTCGTACCCATTACTACCACGATGCAATCACACAGCTGTGGTAGTGTGATTAAAGAAAAAAATTATGGAAACTTCGGTTTTGGCGATCTGCGCCTGCTGATTATCAAAATCGCTTTAAAATATCCACATACATTTTCAATTACGAGACAGAACCATTCATAACTTGGTAATTAACGGTAAGTTGCAAAATCCTTCGCTATGTCCCTGTTAAGAAGAAAGTACCGGACAGGTGTGTCGTGCAATTAGCGCCCGCGCTGAGACATTTAACGTTGATCAGTCGTGAGTAAGTTACGCTTACGATTTCTCGCGTGTGTTGTCGCAGTTTTAGTCACATTTTTTAGTGGCATTTAATCGCACTTTCTTCTTAACAGTCCCTATAAAAAGATATCAATTTCTCTCTCGAACAAAGCAAGAGACAATGTAGGAGCTCAACCATTTGAACTTTAAAACGTGCAACTTCATGTCAGGCAAGGCAAGCTTCATTATTCGCAGCTGTCAAGTAAGCTTACGAACAAGAGTAACGGTATTACAACAGTGACAGATTGTTAAAGAAAAGAGCTATATCACAGTGTCGAATCCAGAGCAAGACTGCAATTCATTCTTCCCAGAGAGAGAGTTGTAAAATAGGATAGCAAATACACAAATCTTTTGTCTGTATAGAGTCCGAGTAGAGTACGAGACTTGAGGTCAGTCTTACTTAACATGTGCACTTCCTGTGCGTGCCGAATAGAGTCCGAGACTTGAGACAATCTCAAGTGCGTTTTTTGTGCGTGCCGAATAGAGAATGAGACTTGTAGTCAACCTTGATTGACATGTGCGTTTTCTGAGCGCACCGAATAGAGTGCGACTAGTCATTCTCACTCGACATGCGAGATTTCTGAGCGTTTTCTGTGCGTGCCGAATAGATCTAGAGTGCGGGACTTAACATAATCTTTCTTGACATGTGCGTTTCTGTGCGTGTCGAATAGAGTGCAAGACTTGCAGTCAATCCCTCTTAACGTGTGCGTTTTCTGAGCGTGCTGAATACAGTGCGGGACTTACGACAATCTTACTTGACACGTGCGTTTCTGTGCGTGTCTAATAGATTGCAAGACTTGTAGTCAATCTCTCTTGACATGTGCGTTTTCTGTGCGCACCGAATATAGTGCGAAAGTTGAGGCAATCTTACTTGACATGTACGTTTCTGTGAGTGCCGAATAGAGTACGAGACTTGTGGTTAGCCTTACTTAACATGTGCGTTTTGTGTGCCTGCCGAATAGAGCAGGGAGACTTGTAGTCAATCTCACTTAACACGTGCGTTTTGTGCGTGCCAAATAGAGTAAGAGTGTTGTAGTCAATCTCACTTGGCATGCGCGTTTTCTTTGAGTGCCGAATAGCGTGCGAGACTTGAGGCAATCTTGCTTGACGTATGCGTTTCGTGCGTGTCGAATAGAGTGCGAAACTTGAGGCAATCTTACTTGACATATGCGTTTCTGTGCGTGCCGAATAGAGTACGAGACTTGAGGTCAGCCTTACTTAACATGTGTTTTTTGTGTGCCTGCCGAATAGAGCAGGGAGACTTGTAGTCAATCTCACTTAACACGTGCGTTTTGTGCGTGCCAAATAGAGTACGAGTGTTGCAGTCAATCTCATTCGACATGTGGGTTTTCTGTTCGTGCCGAATAGAGTAGGAGACTTGAAGTCAATCTTACCGTTAACATGTGCGTTTTGTGCGTGCTGAATAGAGTACGAGTGTTGTAGTCAATCTCACTTGACATGTACGTTTTCTATGAGTGTCGAATAGAGGAAGCCTAGAGCGAGACTTGAAGACAATCTTGAAGATCATATAATTCTTCAGAATATTCCAAGTCAACTTCAAGAATGACTCCTCGTTCTGAATCTTCCGTAAGATTAGCTAAATCTCGAATTGTAGCTTGTTTAAGCCATTTAAAAGCTCCTGTTGGTAAGGCTTGAATCATAGCCCATCCATAAAGATTATTAGCATCTAGATAGGTGATATAAGATGTCTTTGCTTCGGTGTTACAGTCTCGCATATACTTATTTTTAGCCTTGGCGTATCGATGAGCAATATATGAGATACCTCCACGTGTATCCTTCTCAATAAATAGTTGCATATCAACATCACTAATTAATTCTAGCTTTACTCCAGTCATCTTCAACATAGCATCCCAAGCGAGTCCGGGTGAAGAAAAGTAATGACAAGTTTTGGAAGACGTCTGCCAACAAAATGATATCAGACCTTAAATAGAGATCATGGTACTCACCCATATCTCTGAGTGAAAAAGTCTTCCAAACATTTTGAGTATGTTCATATTCTCTTTCGCTTATGTGAGTATCATTCAATAATCTGTAAAAATCTTCACTTCTGGGTAACTCTTTTTCATTAAATTTAGCAAAACTGTCCATGTAATCATATGGGTAGACAACTTTTTGTCGCATTAATCTAACTCTTCTTCTTTTTGAAATTCCTTTTTTGGTAAATTCAATACAAAAAGAAAATGCGCTGGTACCTGCATTTCACTAACTACTCAACTTTATATGGGCGGCCCATACTAGTGGCAAAAAAGGTCACGCAAGCAAGCAAAGGCCTGGGCACAAATTCAATAGGCTTGGCTACTGAGTTGAGCCTGGTTTCTAAGCTCCTTCAGAAAGTGACCCCAAATATATTTCTGCGAAATAGTGTCACGTGTCACCCATCTTCGAGAGAGGAGAGAGTGTCATCCAACATGGTTTCTGGAGATAACAAGACTCCTCTGCCCAGAAAGGAGTTTCCGTCGCCGCTAAGAGACGATAAAAGTGGAGGAGATGGAGGATCGGAGAATGACAACTTGAGGGTTCAAATCCCCAGATATTTCAGAAGTTTCACGAATTTGCTTGTCCCTTCAAATCTTTTCTCGTATAAAAATAGTAAGTCTATTGATCTGAGGTCTGAAGATAATTTAAGGACAATCTTTTTGGCGGCACACGTGGCTGATATTTAAGTTACTTATAATCAAGGTCGGTGTGATTCTGGAGTGATATTATTGCATTACTCTTGAACCCCAACACGAAAGCTAGTTGTAGTGTCTGGCGATTTCTACCGTTTTAAGCTTGCTTTACCATCACTTTTATTCCTGTCAAAAGACGAAGTAAAGGCTGCACACTTCGATTTCGGCCGTTGTCCATGCGGAGGTGGTTTGCGCCCCAAAAATCCTCCCGATCAGTATTTTTCTTAGCCATAGCAGTTTTTTACAGACCACCAGACGTCGAAGAGACGTTCTTGGATGAATTCGGAGATTTCTCAATAAAGCTTCTGGTACAGGAATCGCTGATTTAATTATCACTGGCGATTTTAATTTTCCCTGTGTCGATTGGTCTACTGGATCACCAACTAGTTTAGACAATTTGACTGAAACTTTTTGTGAAATCCTGGATGACCATTTTCTCACCCAAACAAACCCTTATATCACCCGTCCCAGTGCCACTAATACCTTATCATCTGGTAACATCTTAGACCTTGTGTTGACGAATCATGAATCACTCATCGAAGGAACTACTGTGCACCCAAATGGATTTGATTCAGACCATTTCCCAGTCTGTTTCGCGATCAAGAAAAGTTCAACAGGCCCAAAAACAGTCAAAGATTAGTTTACCGATATGATAAAGCTGACATTGATGGTCTAAGAAATACATTCTCTCACATTTTATGGGATTCCTATATATCTTGTGAGGACATTGACTCAGGTACGGCGAATTTCCAAGATCTTGTTCTCGCGGCAGTCAATCAACATGTACCAAAGATGAAGCTTAGACGCAAGCCAAGACCTCCATGGATAGATAAAGAGGTCTTAAAGTTAGTGAGGAAAAAGAAAGTCTTGTGGAAGCGTTTA